GTGGCGACTATCTTTCTAGTTGTGGTTATTTGCGACCGGGGAAATCTAACACTGACATCTCCCTTAATAAGCACGTGCAACCCCTCATCCAAAGACGACCATCGGCTTGTCCTCCGCCTTGTTTCATCATGGTGGTGGACGACAATCTATGGAGAAAATGAAGTCTAAGCTTCGCAGATCAGGCATGCGCTCATCAATGGTTGTCTCCTTGGTGGGAGCTACGATGCATGCAGACAAGGTTGATGCTCGACCTTCACCGCAACGCCACTAATCTTCTTTGGCCAAAGGGTGGCCATCATTCTTCCTGGCCTTGATACCAATAGGAAGGCAACACAATGTTTGGTTGAAGTTCATGGTAGGATATTGTGAAGACCTCGTCAGCCAAGTGGTCCTGTCCCCGGTGAGGATGAGGTTGACTCAAGTGGAGGCTATTTAGGACTCGGTCGTGTTTCTTTATCTTGGTATGGGGTCCTCTTTAGAAAATTTGTGGATGCATATATAATTTATAATTTCTTTTGGGTCCAAAAAATGTTGTGCTCTCATTTTGTGGTGCTTTTTTAAGATAGGGTCATTTTTATCAGTAGTAAAAAGGATAAAATGTGTTGACCAGATGCCGCACCACACCATACAACTCGGGGACATAGGTTATTTAAATTAAGTCACCTTACTTTCGGTAACTAACATAGGTCAACTTGTTGCCCACAAGACTATCTTAGTACCGCGCGGGTTTATGTCTAACTTTTAAAATATATTGTTCGTCTCTCTTCATCAGTTTGGCCTTTTAAACGAATTTACTAGAGTATGAGTCCAATATAGTATCAGAAACAAGAAATCTCTAGTTCAAGACCCTGCAAATAGGACCATCGGCTTGTCCTCCATCCAAGTAGGAAGAATCCTACTTGGGTGCCTACCAATTCGGCCTCCCCCCTTCCATATTCATACGGAGGGGGGAGGAAGGAGGAGGGAGGAGAGAAGGAAGGGGGAGGCCGAATTGCTCCCCATCCTTTCTCTCCTACCCTCTTTCCTTCCCCCTTATTTCGGCCTACATGGGGCGCACCAGCCTCCTAGGGGCTGGTCTGTCCCCTTCTTGGCCCATGAGACCCATGTAGTTGCCGGGGGATGCCTAGAACCCCTTCCGGTGACCCGATATGTACCCGGTACCCCCGGAACATTTTTGATGTCCGAATATCATCGTTCAATATATGAATCTTTACGTATCGATCATTTCAAGACTCCTTGTCATGTCTGTGATCTCATCCGGGACTCCGAACAACATTCGGTCACCAAATCACATAACTCATATAATATGAAATCGTCATTGAACGTTAAGCGTGCGGACCCTACGGGTTCGAGAACTATGTAGACATGACTGAGACACCTCTCCGGTCAATAACCAACAACGGAACCTAGATGCTCATATTGGTTCCCGCATATTCTACGAAGATCTTTATCGGTCGTACCGTAATGACAACATACATTATTCCCTTTGTCATCGGTATGTTATTTGCCCCAGATTCGATCGACGGTATCTTCATACCTAGTTCAATCTCGTTACCGGCAAGTCTCTTTACTCGTTCCGTAATACATCATCCCGCAACTAACTCATTAGTCATATTGCTTGCAAGGATTATTATGATGTGTATTACCGAGAGGGCCTAGACATACCTCTCCGATACTCGGAGTGAAAAATCCTAATCTCGATCTATGCCAACCCAACAAACACCTTTGGAGATACCTGTAGAGCATATTTATAATCACCCGGTTATGTTGTGACGTTTGATAGCACACAAGGTATTCCTCTGGTATCCGGGAGTTGCATAATCTCATAGTCAAAGGAATATGTATATGACATGAAGAAAGCAATAGCAATAAAACTGAATGATCAATATGCTAAGCTAATGGATGGGTCTTATCCATCACATCATTCTCCTAATGATGTGATCCGATTCACCAAATGACAACACATGTCTGTGGTTAGGAAACTTAACCATCTTTGATTAACGAGCTAGTCTAGAAGAGGCTTACTAGGGACACGGTGTTTTGTCTATGTATCCACACATGTATCAAGTTTTCGGTTAATACAATTCTAGCATGAATAATAAACATTTATCATGATATAAGGAAATATAAGACAACAACTTTATTATTGCCTCTAGGGCATATTTCTTTTAGATACCAATAGGAAGGCAACACAATGTTTGGTCGAAGTTTATGGCAGGATGTTGTGAAGACCCCGTCAGCCAAGTGGTCCAGTCCCCGGTGAGGATGAGGTTGACTCAAGCGGAGGCTATTTAGGACTCGGTCGTCTTTCTTATCTCGGTATGGGGTCCTCTTTAGAAAATTTGTGGATGCATATATAATTTATAATTTCTTTTGGGTCCAAAAAAATGTTGTGCTCTCATTTTGTGGCGCTTTTTTAAGATAGGGTCATTTTTATCAATAGTAAAAAGGATAAAATGTGTTGATCAGACGCCACACCACACGATACAACTCGGGGACATAGGTTATCTAAATTAAGTCACCTTACTTTCGGTAACTAACATAGGTCAACTTGTTGCCCACAAGACTATCTTAGTATCGTGCGGGTCTATGTCTAACTATTAAAATATATTGTCCGTCTTTCTTCATCAGTTTGGCCTTTTGGACGAATTTACTAGAGTATGAGTCCAATATAATATCAGAAACAAGAAATCTCTAGTTCAAGACCCTGCAAATAGGACCATCGGCTTGTCCTCCATCCTTGTGTTGTCATGGTGGTGGACGACAATATATAGAGAAGTCCTCGGTGGAGCTACGACGCATGCAGACACGGTTGATGCCCGACATTCACTGCAATGCCACTAAATCTTCTTTGGTCAAAGGACGGCCTTCATTCTTCCTAACTTTGCTGCCAATAGGAAGGCAACACAATGTTTGGTTGAAGTCCATGGCAGGATGTTGTGAAGACCTCGTCACCCAAGTGGTCCCATCCCCGACGAGGGTGAGGATGACTCAAGCGGAGTACATTTAGGACTCGATCGTTATTCTTTATCTCAGTCTGGGGTCCTCTTTAGAAAAGATGTGGACGCATCTACATTTTCTAACTTGTTTTGGGTCCAAAAAATGTTGTGCTCTCATTTTGTGGCACTTTTTAAAAATAGGGCCATTTTTATCAGTCGTAAAAAGGATAAAATGTGTTGACCAGACGCTGCACCACACCATATGACTCGCGGACAAATTATCTAAACTAAGTCACCTTGCTTTCGGGTACTGACATAGGTCAGCTTGTTACCCACAAGGCTATCTTATTACCGCGAGGGTTTACGTCTAAATGTTAAAATATATTATCTGTCTCTCTTCATCAGTTCAGCCTTTTGAATGAATTGACTAGAGTATGAATTTAATATGGTATCAGAGACAAGAAATTTATAGTTCAAGACTCTGTCAACGCGGTATGGTCTACTAGAGGCTGGGGCGCCACCTGGTGGCGCCTCCTGAGACGGGCTTGTGCGCATTTATCTCATCTCCGCACATTCATCAGTCTCACTCATGTACATCAATATGGGTGTATGCTATAACATTTGGATCTCTTGCTCTCTTGGATGTAGCAATATAAAATATTCATTACAGCCACTTCTTGATGGATCAATAAGAAAAAATGTAAATAAGCTATCCACAGAATCAATTTCAGCGTGTGTATGTAAGATAGATTGCTCTGTCATCTACAAAACAGAGAGATGAAAAAGGGAGAGAGATCTGCCATTAGATGGAAACCAATTTGCACTTTACACCAAGACTATTTTTTTAAACATGTTCATAACATACATGACATGGATCGATAAGACGACAAATATCATACTTCCTTTGCGGTCTTTGTTCATCAGTCACATTTACTGATCCAAATTCACTCAACAAGTTCGTTATTTCTAGAGCCATTAATCTATGAACCATGAAGCACCTACAATCAGACATACCATGACCGAGGAGCATAATCAATCTAGCCAGATTGTCAAACACAGTAAGGTGCAAAATCATAACTAAAACACACCGGGGGCAACAAAGAACAGGCACCAATTGACCCAAGTATTTGATGGACATCAGATTTGAGCGGTTCCTTTCCAGTATAGATGCATACTTTGTGATTTACTTGGTGAATGCATTATGTAAATATATCACAATATAAATAGGCCAAGTCATACGGAAATCTGGTGTTATTAACTCAAGAAATACATCAAAACATATGTTCAGCTTACACAAAAGTAGAATGGCTACTCGCTTCTTTACAAACGAAGCCAAGGCCTTACCTGGACATCACCCTGGCATATTTAGCAAGGGATTCATTGTTTTTCTTTAATGCCTGAAAAGCTAGCAGGCGTTTATCTCTTTTACACAAACTAAGTCTGTTACTAAAATTGCAAATACATGGCTTAGCGCTCCAATGAAATGAACCCAATATTAACTAAACTGCATTTCCATTGTTTACTTCCTCAAATAATCCAAATCAGATATATAGAATAAGGGATAGGTAAGAGTTTTTTGTTACTGTAATCAATAATATCATCAATGTTTCTGGCAGGTAAAACATTATATATTAGGATATCTTGCAGTGCCAATAGCTGAGACGGAAACTATTATATAAGCTCGAAAAAAGATTAAACAATGTAGTCAACAGATAAAAGTAGTCTACAATCGTTTCAAGAAGCTTGTCCAAATTAAGAGGGCTCAGTGACAACCTGCACAGGCATGCCGGCATTTCGTCTCGCTACAGATCAAATAGATCACATTAGAACATAAATTCCTAGCCCTTCATGGACACACCATGGTCAGGGGTGGCACATCAGTGATTTTGGACTTAAGGTCTCAGGTCTGATCATACATAAGCTTCTAACAAACATAAATATTCAGTTCGGTATTTGAGGTGGAAAAGCAACATGGTAGGGAAATATATAGCCAGTAGGTGTATAATTGGAGAATACCCGTAGAAGCTCACTTGAGACTCACAAAAGGGAAAGACGTATGCTTTAATTTGAAACACGGAACATAAAGCATACATGTAACTGAAAAGGACATAGAAGATTATACCTGACATTTATCATCAATAAAATCGACATCAACAGAATTTGATGTTTCTGCAGTGTGGCCATGGTCAGGACTTGACAACGGCCAGGGTGAACCTCACAGATTTACATTTGAGACAACAAATAAATAAGTAAACGGGAGGATCATATACATAGTCAAACTGCATATGTTTTTAACTGTTAGTACATACTATAAGCATGTAATTTTCTGACTCCTCCCGATTTCTCGTTCTATAAAATGAGGCCTAGCAAATGCAGACGATGAGTTCAGTTTAGCAGCTTGTTCTATGGTTGGTGCTAAGTTTAGTGACACACATCGCAGCAAAGAACATCTGCTACAAGTATGGAACATCTATATATCTGATGATTGGGAAGTTCAGATAGCTCTTTTGTTTCTTGCATTAATAAAGAGTGTAGCTGCATGCCTGCATCCAATCTAACTGCTCATTGTCAGTAAAGATTGTAATCCCTCCGTTTTTATTTAGTTCGCGTATTAGCTTTGGTCAAAGTCAAGCTTTGCAAACTTTGACAGAGTTTAGAAACAAAAATATTAACCTATACCATAACAAATCAATACCATTAGATTTATTATTATATGTACTTTCACATTATATAGATTTGTTATCGTAAATATTTATATAGTTTTCTATAAATTTGGTCAAAGTTTACGAAGTTTGACTTCAGTCAACTCTAATATGCAGAGTAAATAAAAACGAAGGGAGTAGCGAGCATATGCCATTACAACCAAAAAGACACAAGTCTATCTGAAATTCTGAATGTGTCATCCCTCTTCAGAAATTTGTTACAGCCAAAAATACCTCAAAGAGGCACAGAACGCTTGAATTTCTGCATAGAAATAAGAGGTCAATTGTCAATTAGTCGAGCGCCTCATGCGCACACCATGGCATCACACCATAACAAACTAAAAAACTTACCTTGTCTTTGAGTTGTTTGAACTTTGAAGTGGAAGGCGGTGCGAAGGAGCCGGTCGGAGAGCCTGGTGCAGGGGAGGGAGAGCAGGCCGGTGACATAGTGGGATAGTGGAAGAGGTGCTTGGCGAGGGTGTCGTTGGGCATGAACTCAGCGACGAACAGGCGCTCGACCCCGTCGCAGCAGTAGCCGATGAGGTTTGCCAGTCGCCGGTGCCACCGCTTCCCGACCCTTGCCTCCTCTTGCAAATAGAACAGATAGCGAGTAAAGCTATCGCACACAGCAGACAGAGGGACTCCGGCGGCTGGTCGGGGACGTACATGCCGTGAACTGCTTCCGATCCAGTTCTTCATGGACGATGACTCCCGCGAGGACTTCCACCTCCTGCCTTTCCATGTTTCTCACAGGTCTGCTGCCACCGCCGCTCGTGTGAGCCTTGTTCAGCGAGGGGGGAGACAAGCAGAGAGAGAGAGAGGAAGAAGAGGCGGCTGCAGCTGGCGACGTTGAGAGAGAGGAGGCGGTGGCATGTGGGGGGAGAGGTGGAGACGAAGATGTGCGTGTGCGGCCCGATGCGGAGCTGCCTTCGTTGGAAAGGAAACACAGAAATCGCTGCGTATGTAAACAAGAGAAAAGGGCGGTAGCTGCGCTGAGTGCGGATCTGGTCGAGAATGGTGCTTCTGCCGCGGCCGTGGCCTCTCTGATCTCCTCCCGGTGGCGTCCTAGATCTGGCGATGTAGAGAGAAAGGAGCAGAGGAGACGGCGGCTGCGTTGGCGCGTGGAACGAGAGAAGGTCGCGTGCGTGGGAGAGAATGCGAGACGATCTTTTCTGCTGCGTAGCCCTTCGCGATCGACCTGCTGTCTTTTTGTCGTATGCGTGATGACGTGGCTATCGCCAGAGATGGCTCCTTGCGCCACCGTTAATGGATGAGAGAATTCCTTATTTGACACTCTCTTAAAATTGTGTTCCTTATTTGACACTGGAGAAAATTTTCTTCCCTATATGATCTCTAGTCTTAATTTTTTTTCCCTATATGACACTCTAGTGCATTTTGTACATGTGAAAAGACCATTTTACCCATATGTATAATGTGACCACAAATATGTACACGATAATAGTTGTTCCAAAAAAATCAGCCGAGTTATCCATATGTGACATCAGATATGCTGGTATTGTCATGCCAGTCGATTTGCTACTGTTCCGGTTAGATTGTATACCTGCAGTAGCATCTGTGGAAATGATCCATGAGCAGCGGGGTGGGCGGACAGAGTCAGCCGGCCGGACAGCAACCGCAACACGGTCGGAGCCCGGAGTGGCCACCTTCTACATGCGTCCGCAACACGGTCAGCTCCTTAGCATTCCCATACATGCGTCCGCAACCAGCGTATCAAATCGACCCAGTTGGTTCCCCGGTAGCTACCTTCTACATGCACGTGCACACGCCGCCGCTTAATACGTTCTGCAGCCGGCCGATAGAATTATCCAGCCATTGCTCTGCGCAGCAAGGTTCTACATCTGTGTGCGTGCTCACGGCCATAATTTTGTGCGTTCGGCAGCAGGCGGATCGAATTGATCCAACGCTTGCCTCGGTACCTAGCTTCTACATGAGCCTGTATGCGGCCGTCCGGCGAGATCGGTGAGCCCACTCTACTGTACTTGCGTACCTCAACGGAATTTGACCGGAGAATGGGAAGATCACGGCAGAATAGAAATAGTCTGAATCATTGTCAAATAAGGGTTTGACAAACACTCTTTCCAATTGTCAAATAAGGGTCTGACAAACACACTTTCCAAATGTCAAATAAGGGTCTGACAAACACACTTTCCAACCCAAACGTAGTCTTATAGAAACTGATTCTTAACAGAAAAGTAGTAAAACTGGTTTTGCTAAAAATCAGGTAAAAACTCGTTTTATATAAACCAACGCCTAATATTTGCTATCCAAACAGCCCCTAAGAGCGTCAATGATCAATGTCGATCGACCTCGCACTCACAAACCATACCGCACGAAACTAGACCCACGGCTGAATACGTTCTAAATACATTGGATGCATGCGCTCAGGAATACAGAATACACACGCATTCCAAAAAAGGCCAATGGAGGAGATAACATGTTCAGCTGTGCTCACTCTCAGAAACATATTTTCCCTAATTAGGCTCAATGCTACATCTGGTCACATTATGTACAGGGGTAAAAAGGTCTTTTCACGTGCACAAAATGAACTAGAGTGTCATATAGGGAAAGAAATTAAGACTATAGGTCATATAGGGAAGAAATTTTTTCCAGTATCAAATAAGGAACACAATTTTAAAGGGGTGTCAAATAAGGAATTCTCTCTTAATGGATTGTATATCTATCCCATGTTTAAGGATTAAAAAAGACTACATGCGAGTGAACTTTGTGGTGTTGCCATCTCATGGTAGCCTTCGGTCTCTTCATGGACTATGTCCTGGGCACAACGAAGACGTCCAAATTTTAGTGCCAGCCATATCGGTCGTAATTTTGAATCACCAAGAGGCACCGACAACATCATTGAGTAATTAAAACAGACTAACGAAGCCCATAATCATATACTCCCCCGTTTCGAAATATAAGGTGGTTTAGGTTTTTCAATAGTCAAACACGGGCATGTTTGACCCTTTAGAAAAAAATACTATACAATACCAAATTTATACTATTAGATTACCGAAAAAGACTTACGTCCCGCTTTATAAATAAAGCAACCACCAAGCACAAAGTCAACAAGGTATTATCCACAACACACATACGCAACGCCCCGCTTTATACCATTAGATTAGATTCATCATGAAAACTATTAAATCGTTACAACTTATATCGTGGAACATTGGGAGTACAGTACAAGATCTGATGCCTGTAGCAGGGTGGCAGGGGTAGCTATCCAAATGTAGCTGCTAAAAAGGATTACAATCAAGACATATTATTCCTAGCTGGCTAATTTAGTAAAATCTTGCACAATATAAACTAAACTATCACCGCTCAAATGTAATGCAAAGGCCTCCCACAGAAGAAAAAGAAAAGGAAAAATACAAAGTAAAAAAAAGTTAGCTATCAACATAGGCAGAATATATTGATGGCTATATTGATAGTCAAAATTTTACGGAAATGTTAACGCCCACACGTGTGGGCGTCTGGCAACTCGACCACACGCATCCATCATCGTTCAACAATTTCTGCACGGATCTTGGCACATTTTGCCTGATTTTGTATGCCACGTAGGACAAGTCGTGTGTGTGATGTGTGAGAGTGTTCGCCCACATGCCGGTTGCCCCCCGCGGTCAACGGTTGTCACTCGGAGGCGTGAGGTGGAACTGCTCTGCACCCGCACGCCACGCCCGAACTATGGTTGCCGTCAACTACGTCGCGCACTTCGCCCCCCTCCCCTCACGGTTCCATTTACTATCCACTTCATTACTCACCCAACCCACCCTGCAGTTCATTCGATTGGAAGAGAAGGCGAGAGGAGAAGGCGGCGGCGGAGGCGGAAGAGTCGACGGAGTTCGCGGCCATCGATGGTGCTTGCCGGACCGGAACGGCCTCGCCGGAGCGCCTGCAGATTGAAGGTAATGCTCGCTCCCACTCTCACAATCCTTGCCTGCATTTTTCTCCCCTTCCCTCGGTGTTCGATGCTTCGCTCGAGATTCGTAGAGATTCAGGCGATTTGGCGATGCGCCGGCGTTGCCGCCGGCGGCGGAGTCCCATGCTTGCCGTTTTCGATGGCACTGGGCAGTTTCGTCGCCGCCGCGGTGGCGGTCTCGCCGGGGTGGTTCTGCCTGTTCGGAGACACACACTGGTTGTGCCTTGAGATTGGACCGTTGTTTTCCGGTCTGATAGTTGCGCATTGCTTCGAATTGGTATTTGCGATCAGTTCGGGGAGATTTTTGGGGATGAATTTCAAGTCATTATAGTTGCCATTGAACCCTAGATCTAGTTAGTTGTTTTCCAAAACTGCAGTATGAAGGCAAACGCGATGGTTTGAGTAACTATCATGACTGTATGGCAACTAATTTTTCTGAATGAATGTGATAGTTGCCACAAACATGCTTTTCCATGCGGCAACTATTTTCTTGAATGACTGTGATAGTTGCCACAAACATTCATTCCCATGCGGCAACTAATTTCCTCAATGACTGTCATAGTTGCCACAAACATGATTTTTCCATGTGGCAACTAATTTCCTGAATGACTGTCATAGTTGCCACAAACATGCTTTTTCCATGTGGCAACTAATTTTTCCTGACTAATTGTGATAGTTGCCACACTGTAGGAATGGTAAAGTACAGTAAATCGGTGGTCACTGCAGTTTCAGTAACCAATTAGACTGGATGGCAACTAATCTGCATATCAACTATGCATGTTGCCATCTGGATAGTATATTCTTGTGGCAATAGAGTATGAACACACTGTGGCTGTTGCCATGTTGTAGACAGGATAATGTGGCAAATTGGCTGCATAACATGGCAACTAATTTGCACATCAACTGTGTCAGATGCCATATATATGCTTTCCATGTGGCAAGTCTTTGTCTATTGCCATGTTACAGTCAGTACAATGTGGTAAATTCATTGTACGGCAGACGCAATTTTCGTGTTTCTGCCATGCTGACTTGTGATATCTGAACACAATGTGGCAATTTTCAGGTTGTTCATTAGATGTTTTTCATCGCTTTTGTGCTATCTGAACACACTTGTGATATTTGTGTTGCATTTTAACATGGCAATTTCAACCTAGCACATTTTTGCCATTGAAACACATGGCAAGTCATTTGTTGTACGAGGACAGGGTGTGCGCTGCCACATGTTAGGTTTCTGCAGTGGAGGATTTTGTGACTTTCTTTTCGTACTATCTTATGCTAACATGGCAACTTCAACATTTTTGTTTTTAAGTGCATTTACGATCTGTACATTTTTTTCAAATGTAACCAATGTGCTTAATTGCCACATTTATGTTTTCAACAATCAAAGGGGGGGTGCGTGCGTGTTCATGTGATATTTTTGCATTCACTATTTGACATTTTTTCACTCGAGCCCATGCGGCAAGGACATTCTGTTAGGTGGCAACTGCTTACTTCCTGCAATTTCATTTTCACAGTGACAATTTGGTCTGTTCTTACCTCAACAGAATGGTTCGCGGCGATCATCAAAACGATGATGATGATTTCATGGATCCACCACAGCGGAATCGGGCAACTGGACGGCGAAAAGAGGGCGACGAGGTAACTGTCCACACACCCTCTTCCTCCTGCATATGTTATTGGTTGCCACCTCGAGCTTTGCAGTCGTCTGTCATGAACTAAAATTTCATGACAGTGAAAACATGGCAACAACTAATCATTTGTCTATCTTTTGCAGAAGAAGAAACGTACTTGCAACAGGGCCTCCCAGGAACGGTTGACTTCATTGACTGACAGATTTACTGACGATCAGAAGGGAGCTGCTGCTGAGATGGGTATGCAGGCTATGATGAATGTCCGGTGCACGGATCTAGTCAACCCTGTGTGCGACTGGCTTGGTGAGATTTACGACCCCCCTCTAGGGAATTTGTGATTCCGGGACGTGGAAGACTGCCGTTGGACGAGGAATCCGTGTTCTGCACTTTGGGTGTGCCCCGTGGACAAATCAAAGTCCCGTATAAGGTCAATAACAAGATCGAGGAAACGTTGTTCCCCCGTTTGTTTCCTGGGTTGGAATCCATGCCGAACACGTCTGTACTGGCAGATTCGCTGCAGGCCATGACAACACATGGCGAGGTTTTTAAGATGAAACTACTCATGTACCTCATCTCAGCTGTTTTCGCGCCGACCACTTCTCTTCGCCCAAGCAAAAAATGCTTCCCCATCCTGGTGAATGATCTATCTTTACTACATTATTTTTCCTTCAATTTTTTTGCTCCGATGTCATGTGCAAGCTAGTCACCGCCAGTGTTTTTTGATGTTTTCCCATTTGATTTTCTGATGCGGCAACTCGTTCTGAATTTTGTGCGGTGCAGGCGAATCTGAAAGATGTGAAGAACATGAATTGCTGTAAGTTCATTGCCGACTTCCTACATGATGTATTCTCAAGCAAGATGTACTAGAAGGGTTGTCGACTACATTTAATGGTATTTTTTACCAGTCCTTTCTGTGAACACTCTTTTTTAACACCTTTTTATTCATGCATGGCAACCTGATCATAACAAGATGGCAACTGCCATAATGACAATATGGCAATTGTCATCATGACAATATGGCAACTGCCATCATACTACGATGGCAACTACCATCATGACAATGTGGCAACTGCCATCATGACAATATGGCAACTGTCATCACACTATGATGGCAACTAGCACATACAGATGGCAACTTGTTCTTTCTCTCTTTTTTCATGCACTTCAACTTGATGATCATAGGAACATATATATTATCCTGTTTTTTCGTAAAATACCATGATCGCAACTGATATTTCTTTCTTTTTAAAATTATTGTACATCAGCTCATGTACGTCGACTGTCTTGATCTGTCCACCGTGGATTTCACTGGGACAGGAGGCCCGCCGCCTACGCACAAGTTTGCTGTTTCTGCGTGGACTATCGATGCTGTCAAAGCTGTGCTTGCTGCGGACAGGATAACTGATACCAAATATGGAAAACTGCAGGTTAGTTCTGGTTTCTTTATCTACACGGCATTCTTACAAATTTTTGCGGCATAACATATCGTCGTGTGGCAACCGTCTGTGGTTATCGTCGTGGGGAGATAAGGGGTGTGGTTTGCGGTGGGAAGGCCCTACGGATCTGCCCTACGGATCTGCTCTGGTTGCCATGGCAACCAGAGAAGGCCGGCGATGGAGGTAGGGGTTCGGGAGGTGGGAGAAGATGGCGGCAGTCGGAATTGGGGATCGACCATAGGCCGGGACGGCTGGGTCGTGCAGGCTGCTGGGTCCTCTGGCCCGGACGTGCGGGCGGGATTGCCACACACCGGACGTGCGGGCCGTGCCTTTGCGCGCCCGGACGCGGTTGTGCGGGCTGGTTCCTATCCATGCCACACGAGGCGTGTGGCACAACTATCCGATACACCACACGTGTGGCAGTTATCGGCGTCCAAATTTTAAACATAAAACTTGCCAAACTGTGATTCCAAAACAGAACTACACCATTGCAAGCGAACTGAAAGAGTAGATAGTTCCTGGTGATGTTCTTCCAGCTCCAATAGTCCATGACTCACAACAATCAATGTTAAACAACAGTTAGTTCCATATACCATAAATAAAGACACACACACACACACACA